AAACCATTGGAAGGATAGCAATTGAGTTGAGAAAACGTCGCGTAAGACATATGACGACGGGTTTTAACTACAGGATCCGAGCACATGGACCTGAGAGATTATAACGAGTATATCACCATTGGGACGTCATTTTTACCGAAAGTTTATCTAATTCCAGTTAACGTGTAAAATCACTCTGAACACCAAATATAGCCGTAACAATTTCGCGGGTCCCTGTGGATCCGAGAACGTATCATAGCTGATATGTTTGGACCTAGATTGTAATGAGTAGAGAGTAAAATTAGAAGTGTCAAGGGTTTAGATCAACTTTCGGTAAAATGCTACCCGCAGTGATGGTATTTTGGAGTACCATCAACTGGGGTGGTTTCTTTTTTCATAGAGTTAATTTGGACACCTAAAATGTTTAATGTTAATAAAACCATCATTTATATCATTTTTAATAAGATCTATATACAACCATTATGACGTCACGTGCTGCAATGCGATGACGTCATCAATTTAAGTTAAATGCGATATTGACAGTGTTTTTAAAGTTGGGTTAGGCCATGCAGATGAGAAAAATGTCTCGAATTCGTTTTATTTTTATGAAATTCTCTGAAGCTTGTTTCATAAATATCATAGGCAACAGAAATCCGTTTGGTATCCTCTATATATTTTAATCGGTTTTTTAGAGAAGACACAATTTAGCAAGAAAACATACGATTCTGTCTTATCCATTTATAATTAAAAATACGCCGGTGTCACTATTAGTGGACAAAAGGTCCCTGACGATACTATAAATCGTCAAATTATATTTTGTTTTTGTTTTTGTTTTCTAAAGTAGATGTGCTTACTTAAATGCTACAGTGTGCCATAACGGATAAGCTTTGATTCTTTGCTGAAATTAAGTCTAAGGTTAGGTCATCATAAAATGGGGTTTTATTCTTCAGTCTATTTTTTCCTGCATATATAATTCAGGGGTTTAAGTTGAAAAAGGCAAAATATTGTACATGCATTTAATTTAAATGATTATAGAAAAACCGGAGATCAAATTTTCAAGATATTTACCGGATAGTTACAACTATATGTCTTATATTTGATAGCTTACTTTATGTAACCCCCACTGTAAAAGTAGGTCACTGTTTCCCAGTTCAAAATTACCAAAATCATGTCCTGATACTCAACTCGTTTTCTTACTTAGTGAGACAATATGCAAACCACAAGGCGCTCAACTTTGTACGTTCTTTTTATTTCATTATTTTAAATGCCATTTGAAATGTTACCAATAGAATCTGAAATGTTGAAATATATAAAGTAGAAAGCTTACAGTTTTAATGGTACCATATAAATGTTTTGATTTTTTTTCTACAATCATATAAATAAACTACTCCATTATTATCTATACGGAGATGTGGATTGATTGATACAAAAAAATCCATTTCGACCTAATTACCCTAGACTTTGTTTCTGCCAAACAACAGACCAAGGCCAACTGAAGCTTTCAGTGGGCACCGCTCTTTAAAATATATTATGATAAGGGCTCAGCACGGATACCTGACGTATTCCCCTTTTATGTTGTTAGTGTTTTACTTTTGTTCTTTCTCTAAATTTGACATGTTAGCGTGGAACGTCGCTAATTTGACTTTACTAATCGACACACACATTTCCAATGACAAACGTTGGTATTTCTCGTATCTATTCAAGCTAAACCACCTTCGTTACACTAGCGAATCCACATCTAAATACGACAGTTTTTTCCGTACATAGACAACCGGTATTATTTTTGGTAACTACTATTACGTACGAATGGGCGTGTCCCATTAAGACCTAATTCATTTTTAATCAAATGTCTTCATGTCAACACAAAGGCGGAATTCGACACATTTTGCGCGTATTCCGCAACATATGGTGTGAAGCGAGCAACAAATTAACGAAGAATGTTGGCCATAATTAACCCAATATGTAAAATCGTGAACGGACGGCATTATTGATGTTTCCATGAAATTTTTCATAATTGGCTTAAATATATTTATATTCAAACAAATAAAACAAATGCTTATATAAGTTTGCGTTTCTGTTATTTGATTTGACTTTTAAATCTTCTTTCGATTATTATTATTATAACCATTCCAAAGGAAGATGTGTAGTTCTAAAAATATACTTGTCAATTTCTGGAATTGCATTTTTGATATCATCTTCCTATGATGATATTTTTAGTACGAGAAATGGACGTTTCTATTCCGAATGAATGTTTGTGGTGCATTGTGGGCGTTTTATTACGCAGTGTCAAGGGTTTATTAAATCGATATCAATATATTATATTTATATATAGTTTTGACACTAGTTTTCTAACTCATTTGATTTAAATATCTTCCATTTTTATTTAGATGATGTAAAATATTTTTTTCTTTCGAACAGTTACTTATAAATAAATATGTCTGCATGCATTTTTACTTCCAATTTGTCATCCAAAAAATATATATATATTTCTTCAATTTCAATGCATTTTTATCACGATAACATTTTTTAAATTCAATATATAAAAAATGATCATCTTTTCATCTACGGCCGATTCTAAAACCAATTAAAATTATACATATGAATATACTACTATTATATATAGTCTTACGGGGCCGGAAACCTTCCTAACACGTTACATTTTCTGGTGTTACATGGAAGGTATACGCCCTCGAGCGAGACATTACAACAGATATTTGTATAAGGCTGTGATAAACACAGTTTCATTGCAATGGGGCGTGATATTTTTAAAAAGCTTATGAGCAATTTAAATATAATGTACAGATAATTTCTTATCGATTTACTGAGTAACAGACAAAAGACATACGTGAATAACGATTCTAGTTTAATACCTCAATTTCGAGGCAAAATCTCAATCGTGAAACACTTACCGATCGAAGCAAATACCGAACTTTAAAAGCATTTAAATATTTATTCCAGATTAAGTGAGATATTCCGGAAGATTTTAACGAACTTAGTGACAGCTACGTTCGTACGAGATTTGAACGATAACGCCGATTCCTGCTCTATCTGTAGATGACGTGTTTTGAGAGTTTTGAGAACTAGGAGAGGAAGAAAATTCCAAACATGTTTCTGATATGTGTTTGACGCACTAATCAGATAGCATAGTCTGTACCCGGTTCTCGGGCAATAAAAATATCGCATATATACATCAAATTTAATTTCCAGATTTCCGTATCTTTAGAATCAAAGTCGAGGGTTCCCACCATTTGTATGTATAGAGTGGGTATGAGACGAGGTTATACGGGAGACAAAGTTTCGGAGACACTCGATCGTTTTTATATCTTTGTACCAGATGACTCTGAGTACACTCTAAACTCCGGGAGCAGAAGCGGACCGTAAAACTTTACAAGGGTAAACATAGGGGGTCCGTTAATTGCTTGGTCCGAGCCCCGTTTATAATCCGAATCAGCTGGAAGGAGACATATGTATCTATGTTAGCTAGCGCTAACTCGTGTCGACAACATTTACACGTGGGGTTACCCTTGTAACAGCCCCGATCTGAGCTCTCTCCCTTACAACTACGGACTATTTCAGGGGTCACGAAGGAAGCGGAAGGGGAAATTGATCTCTATTAAAGTGTGCTTTGCCGTCAAACTAAGGGGAACATCGGCACGTGTTGGGGATGTGAAGTAAAAAAGAAGTACTTGTGTCAATAACATGGACACTTGACTTAGTATACATCATGCGCATGCTCTAACCCATTGTATGTAATTAAGCGGGGTTAAACGGTGGGCGCATGCAGTTTGCTTTATCCATTGAAAAAAATGCTTACCGGTAAATTCTCAAAATACTCTCATATTAAACAATTACGTTTATATTGCTATATACTTGGAAGCTCATTTGTTGTTAACACATGTACAGTACAATGGTAACACGATATCTGAGGCAGGTGGAAACTCCAAACAATATCAGCTAATAACGTACTGGTAAAACGAACTAGCCTCTTGTTTTCCTTTTACTAATAAGTTTTACATTTATTCACATCTTATAGGAATCTACAACTAAGTATTACAATATTTAGAATTACTTTCAAGAAATTAGCATATTTACACTGATTGTTAGAATTTTGCTTGGTTAACGATTAAAATATTGCTTTAACTAAGTTTAAGGAAAATGCAATAGTACAACGTGTAGATGTACCCGTGTTTTGTATTTGAGTTACCTCCCTTGATATTATCTAATTTGCATAATTAATAAATCAGTATTACCCGAGTGTTACAAATACATACATTCTTGTGTGTAATTCAAAATTTCCATAATTTGATTTACTATAGTTCATTATAATATATTCGATACGTTCTATCGAGTGGAACTGTTTCTCAGGGAGATTTATGTCACAATAAGATAAAATGTCATACCCTTAAAATAATATTTATTTATAACTACTCAAGAGATCCGTACCCAAAATATATATGTATGTCAACAAATTATATCAAAGTGACTCAAATATTTGTAGAAACCGTCAATCATCTTTATCAATACAGTGCGCATGTGCATCATATGAAACCCTTAAACCAAGGTTTTATAGCATGGTCAAACTAGACACAAAATCATTTAGGAACACAAAACTCAATTTTTGAGGACTTAGCGGGCTTCATTTAACGATATTTTTACTTAAGATACAAATAAAATGTGATACCAATTTATAAACAGGTGAGAGGTGTTTGATTCGTAATCTAAACTCGATTGGTCAGAACTTTAATATTGACACGAAACTCAGTTTGTCGAATCTCATCAGCTTAATCGATGTATTCGGGTAAAATTTGAATAATTAATATTGTTGTAATTATTATAATAATATCCAGTGTCAAAATCATCATAAAAAAATAAAACAAATTAAAGATCTCGTTTGTTTTGCAATTGGATCAGACAAACTCGTTCAAAAAATAAATTACATGTAATATTCAATCAAGCTTAATGAATATTCATCAGCAAAAGTATCTACCTCATCTACATATTAAATAACTGATGACATTTACCTGTACTCTTGCCTCCGTCAGGTTGCATCTTAGCGCAAGTTGTTCTCGTGCGTAAACATCAGGATAGTGAGTTTTCTGAAAAACACGTTCCATTTCTTCTAATTGGAAGCTTGTAAAAGTCGTTCGATTCCGTCTCTTTTTGCCCTTTTGATCGCCACTTTCACTGGAATCGTCTTTTTTATCATCGCCGTCGTCGTTTATGTCCGATGACTCTTGTTTACATTTTACTTTGTTGTCCTCGGGAGATTTGTTACAGTTTGTTTGTCCGTTCGGTTCCGATTTGACGCGCTCGTCGGAACTCCTCATCACTTTACTGTCCATCATATCCTGATCCATATCTGTGATTCAATGAAATCAACGTTTCATTAAAAGTTGAGTAATCTTGTCTCAGATTGTGCTTAAAACATGACTAATTAAAATTTGTCAAACAGATCAATCTTATCTGAAATAGTTTTAATGCAGAACTGGCAGTTAGCGTTGTGCCAAAAGTATAAACTCAATAGAGCTATCTGTGGTGTATTTGAAAAAAAGAAATACACATTATAACGATCGATAACAAATCTGTTGATAAATTAATAAATGTTGGCAGCGATTTTCGTGAAGTTTTAAAAATAATTTGAGCAATGAAATGTCAATACACGAGATTATTGAAATAAAATATTTAAATTGACATAAATTGCAAACCAATCACCGCCATAGAACAAAAATTCACCAAAATTGTCCTGATTCAAGCAACAGACTTTTACCGTGTAATTCAATAAAATAAGCAAAGATAAATGAAGATGTTTACAAACCAAAAAGTTTGTGTCACTGAGATCGTCATGTAGCAACAGTCCCAGTGTTAATTAGACGAGTGTTAATTAGCCGTCTATTATCACCGTGCACTACTTCCAAAACATACCGTAAACATGTGAAACCTGCTGTTTTCAATCTCGTGCCGGTGAACGCCTATCGGATAGTACGGGGGAGCAGAACTGTGCAGGAGTTCATTAACATAAGTAGGCTACCAATAAAAATAAACGCCACGAGGACTCTCTCGGAGCGTTATGAAGCGGCAAGAACTGCATGTATTCCCCCTCCTTAACTGTTTTACCGAGTTATATATATAAAGTACAGGCAATAGACTATAGGTTATTTTATACTCACAATACTATACAATTGTGTTGGGTTAGACAATTTTTGTAAGAATTAAACCAATAACCGGAGCAGGCGATGGTGTACGTACATGCATACATGCGCGTCAAGGCTGGGAACTCACTCATAGATTGGCTAGCGTGGAATTAATCTTATCTGATAAGACTTGTTTATTTGCTGTTAAACGTCTGTGGGTTTCCAATTCCTTCTCAGTCAGTATAATAACATTGGTAATAAAATGAGGATTTGGACTTCAAATAATAACAACTTTTATTAAGTTTCATAAAAAGGTAAAATGCAAGGACATTTTGTCGTCACATTCATATGAAATCAGAAATGTCGTTGTATAGCTGTTGAAAAAACTTACACGGTAATAAGTGTGCATTTGAAAATATACAAAACTCAGAATAAGTTGATAATGACTCAGAATTGGTTGATTATGACACAGACAATGGTTGAGTATGATACAGAATTGGTAAACTACAACTTAAAATTGACTAAAAACGACTCAGAATTGGTAGACTACAGCTCAGAATCAGTTGATAATGACTATGAATTGGTAGACTACAACTCAGGATTGGTTGACAATGACACAGAATTGGTAGACCACAACTCAGGATTGGTTGACAATGACACAGAATTGGTAGACTACAACTCAAGATTGGTTGACAATGACACAGAATTGGTAAACTACAACTCAAGATTGGTTGATAATGACTCAGAATTGGTAGACTACAACTCAAGATTGGTTGATAATGACTCAGAATTGGAAGACTACAGCTCAGAATTGGTTGATAATGACTTAGAATTGGTTGATTATAACACAGAATTGGTTGATAATGACTCACAATTGGTAGACTACAACTCAAAATTGACTAATAACGGCTCAAAATTGGAAGACTACAACTCAGAAATGGTTGATAACGTGTCAGAATTTGTAAACAAGAACTATGAATTACAAGGTAACTGAGAATTATCGGAAACACAGAATTATCAGACAACCCAGAATTGGTAAACAACAACTCTACATTGTCAGAAAACACGGAAAACAGCTCGGAATCATTTACTGATTTTAAATTACGTTTGACACAACAAGCAATGTTTTACACTTACATATTAGTAACGCTAAGTTTGCAGAATATAGTAAAAATTGAAGTTGTTTCTATACCATGGAAACTTTCAACAATTTCATAATCGTTCGTCTATCAATGAATATATATCAACACTTTGTATGTTGAGATTAAGAAAATATTTACTCAGCATTTGGGATTGAAAAATCATTCTGACTTCATTTAAAACTTTGCTATCAAGAATAATATTTGGTAAGCACTTCATCTTAAAATCTTATACTAAAAAAACGGGTGTGTGATTATAAAAAGGTAAAAAGATGCAGAGAATTTATCTTCTTCATACTTCACGAGAATAAAATATAAATTAAAAAACTTAGTGTATGATGCGGACAAACTAAGAATTAATTTAAAAACGATTTTCTAAAGATCCTAAACCCCCCATGGCGTGCTATTAGGTTCAAGGCATTTTCATTGACGTCAGCAAGCATAAAATTCATATCGTTTTTCATAGAGGCAACTTGTACAATATAAAAGCACATGTTTCAATAAAATGGAATATGGGGCAATGAGCTCATCCTATATTTATTCCTATTCAACGCAGCAATATTCAATAGTTTAAAATAAAATTTGATATTGATATATACATTTTGTAACTTCATTTCCAGTTCCTTGAAGAGAACAAAGGGTTGTAGAAATGTCTTCTTTTTTAAAATATTGTCGGTCATCATAAAAATTGTGGTAATATTGTATGGTTTTTCATTCTTTTAGTGTTCACAAACCATTACGTGTAAAATAATGGAAAAAAGGAGATATCGCTCCTCTTACTGTATTTTCCATCAGATTATTTAATTATTGAATTCATATGAATAGCATGTCTAACAAAGTCATCGATTAAAAGCCCGATGCGGATTTTATTAAAAAGAATATATATTTTAACAAGAGTTGACTACCTCAGCACTTTCATTTTTTCTCATTTTAACTTACAGATCGAAAAAATACAACGCAAATGATGTATGTGGGTTTTTTTAACGTTATTGAAGCAGATTATCAATAATAAGTTTCAATCAAGAACGACACGACAAATATCAAAACGTCACGTCCAATTATAACATTTCCGTACTTCTTGACCAGTTTCGTTTTTATCTTTACCACGTTCCTGAAAACTCATGTTTCCACTTTAGGCTAACCCAGTTATAATCAAAAACATACATACGAGTTTTTTTATTTATATTTTTAAGTTATTAAGATATCAAAGGAACGTGACTATTCTAACCAAAAATAGAAATTTAGAAATACATTCAGCGAAATCAACGCATTTCTGGAGATAAATAGTATCCCAACAGGTAGTATACATATTTTGTAATGTATTTACTGAATGTTGAAGTTGACAATGAAGCGCGTGTATTAATCATATTGTGCATTAATTTCAGATTTATCATTTATAATTCTGACAAAACCTTGTATATTTGAGATTTTATAATCATTTAAAATTGTTGAACCGAGAGACAGCCGAGGATAAGGAAATGGCTGTTTTAAAACGAATTAATCTGAATATTGTCGCGAATTCTGAAGTGATATTTACAAGTGGCTGAAGAGGGGGTACGAGTTCTGGCTGATATGTTTTTCTATATGTTGAGAAAAATGTGTGATATGAAAACCGTTCGTCGTGTTCACCTCAAGTCTCGTTTTAAATTACTCTCGTGATTGCTTTTCTACCAAAGTAGTTATGATAATTAATATCCAATTAATTATTTCTGATAATTCAATTTTATAGTCACATTGAGCTTAAGGCTCATCAGTAAGGGAATGTAAAGTTCATGTACTATCACTAGTTAAGTACAATTCATTAACAATACATACTATAATTTACTGAATCACGAAGATACTTAATTATTTTTAAACTAAATTCATTAGTGCTGGGGGTTAAATTAAAATTTATAGAACTTTATTCAATTATTAAACATATTTATTGCATTTATATGAATTTAAGAGGAATGGGAAAACAAGCTCAAATTTTACATTAATTAAGTTCGGCTGTTTTAAGTTAATTACCTAACGAATCGAACTCGCGTTGACATGATGTACCGTTAATAGGTTTACAAAGTTAAACACAGAAAACACTCTTTTATAAATACAACTTTACAAGATAATAACCCTGATTACATTGTATGTATGAAATATTAATTTAAAATGGAATTACAATGTATAGATTGTTACAAAACAAAGACTATATTTAAAAAAAAAAATCTTCACTAATTATTCAGCTTTACTGATTTAAAAAACAATCATTAAGCGTTATCACAAAAAACACTGAAACATATTCCAGTAATCCAACCAAAACCAATTGTCTAAAAAGCCTATCAGAATCCGTGACGTCACCTATGACGAATTGCCAGCGATGCTAATGATTGATTGAATTTTCTCAAGTATTTATCGTCAATGGCTTTTAAATTAATTCAATTTGGCGACAAGTGCTGTCTTTGACGAGTTAACTTTGTTACTTAGATTAGCGTCTACTATTTGGCGAGTGACCGTGCTTACCTTCCAGCCTCTGTAACAGGGGGTCTCCCCCTCGACCTTTCCCCGCCAATATGCCCTCAATGGAGTGGTGATTTAATAATTCCGGTTTGTTTTGTTGATTAAAGTCCGAGGTTGTCCGAGGATTGTGACAATTGTCCACATACGGTCCGTTGTCTAATACAGATGCCCGCAATGAGTCCGGAATCCGACCGTAAGCTCCGTACATTTTCTCGAGTTTGACTTCGTAGTCGCGTGAATCCATTACGAATCAAGAACTTAGACTTGTCAAGAAAGGCGCTAAGGATGATGAACAAAGTCCGAGAGGAACCGGTCAGTTACAGCGGTCAAGAGTTACAGGATGACCATGACGAGAAGATGAACACAGTAACATTCATGTGGCAATGTGTTAATTAGTGCTAATTACCTTAAGTATACCTCTCTGATGAAACCCTACGTATACATGAAGGGACCAATACCGAGATGTTTCAATACACAAGTACTTATAACCAGAAATCACTTTTTCTTTCCTCTAAGAGTAGAAACGGCTAAAGGAGCATGAGCGTCCGTACGGTAGGATGTCAGTCGGAGTCTGTGAGCTCCAGTGGTATAGGTACTGAGTTTATATTGCAACATGTTATAATATCTCTTCTGATACCGGATACAGAGGAGAGACGCGGAGAGCACCCGCGGGGAGGAGGGACCATGTGTGCGTGTGTGTACAGCAACTTCCTTCCCCCTACCACAATACGGTGACATCTGGGTGCGGACGTCGATACCCAGACACGACTACAGGGTGGATACACGACCCGAATGTACCGGCAAACTGACCACGGCATCTGGTCAAACAACAATATCGGCCGGACGGTCGGGGCACTGACCACAGGAAACTCGGGTCATTCTCATAGAGGATTAATGCCATAGTGCACATGTTAAGGATTAACCCACTGTTCCTCATAGGTTTTATAAACTTTTTATCACTTACACCAGAGAGGAAATGACTCTTACAATTGTATGGTAAATACCACGCTATTTAAATATTTATTATATTTATTTTTCGCATTATTGGAAGTACTAACAAGAAACTTTGTTACAATAAGGAAATATGCAAGATTCTTCCTTTCAATAGGGAAATTCCTTATATTTAAAGTTGACAATTTTCTTGCGGTAAGTAAAACATCGTCTGTCATATGTTTATGAAAATCAAACCTGAAGATAGTCGAATAACCAAACTTCTTTTTTACATGCACGTTATATATGTGATATTGTTTAAGTCTTCTTTTTTTCCAAAGAAAAACAGCATATGTAAATACAGCGTGTAAGCAGAACATTTTGATGAAGATCATTACTACTAGGATCCCTTGTTGTATTTCTGGACTAATATTCCTGTGTACTGAATAAACCATATCATTCAACATGCGATTGTTCAATTCGATCCACAAAAATGTGTGGAAAATGTCATGTGTTATATTTTCAAAGGGGAAAAAAAGAATCACATATGATTATGTCTATACAATACATATCTTTTGGTTAAATGCTGTAGATTATGCGATGGATATGTATTTTAGAAATGAACTATTTTCTTGGAAAAAGTTCACTACATGTAATTATAAGAGTCGATTTATTATTAGTTTAATAAAAATCAAATTAATATGAATGTTTACCAAGAATCAATATGATAATTTTGATTTTACTCAGAATCATTTTATTCTAAAAGTTCACGAAGAATATATTTTTATAACTAACATAGTACCAATACATCATAAAATAAATATTAATATTTTTATTTTGTTATCAACTCTCAGTATCACAACTTCAAAACCTTTTTTTATATTTTTTTTTATTTAAACAATACCGTGTTACGGTTTGAAGAGCAAACTGGAATATGTATGCTATTTTGCTGTTGCGTTTGTCCGGTATTTTTTGTGTTTTTTATTTTTATTTTAAAATATCAAATAAAATGTGTTCAACCAGTAATATACGTATGCCTTTCGACTAAGTGTCTAATTCTTTCTCAATGTCATTCATACGCAGAGCAAATAATGATGAATAAGTTGACCAAAGTAAGACTGTAAATTACAAGATGATATACCGAAAATAAACACATCATGATGGTTTCTCATGAATTATTTCGTGTTGGAGGGGCAAAAATAGTACAACGTTTTATTTGGGATTATTTGTAAGTGGAACGCTTTCAGCCGAATTAAGAGATTTTGTAAATTTGATAATATGCTAATGAGATGTTGACGTCCACCACATATGTAGAGATGCATACATAAATTACAGTCTTATCGTTTATATAATGAAGGACGGTGAATTCTGTCGGTACAGCTCGGTTAATTAGGCCTGATTCAGAACGTTAATTTAATCATTTACAACGTTAGCCAATTTAAAATAAAATATGTTTCAATGATTAAAACTTTGCAGTTATAGTAATTGACTTGTCGCTATAATCAGCGCACGCTTTTAAAAAAGTCTTATTTATGATTAAAAAATAAATTATGGAGGTATTAAATCATCATGGTGTAACACCTATTTATAAAGAAATGTTCTAATTTCGTGCGTTGGAGTTAAAAAAAAAATGGTGACATGCTTAATATTACTGAATTGCAGCACGCGCAAATTAAATTACACTTGTACCTGCATAATAATATCGTCGATAAATTTAGACGTTTTGCTTCTTATTTTATGATACATATTTTGAGAAAATACACAAAAACAATTAAATAAAAAATCTAATTTGTAGTTTTCTTTTTGAACTTTGATCAATTGAAAATGATGTAATAAGTATCGATTACTTATAATAATAGCAATGCGATCAGTAATGACGTTTTAATAAATATGCATATCATTCAATATGAATCGAGTGATCGTATCAAGAAGTAATTGTTTTGTTGTTGTGTTCTCATAAACAATCAATTTTATAATATAATAGCGATATCCTCAGAACTGAGATTAGGTGAGGTTAAAAATAGATTTAACTTAATTCAATTTATTCTCGGTTGTAAAAGTTACATTTCCTATCTCTGAATAATAATTAGATATACTAATATTATTATACAATCAATGAATATATACACTCAAGCATAAATACTAATTAAGAAGGTATTCGTATGTTACTCTAAACCTGGAGAAATGTTTGCTGATATATACAGAAGAGCATACTGTTTCCCATTTCTTTAGGACTTGAGAATATGCACCATAGTTGCATCAAGTATACAGCCACGGAAATGTTAAGGACCTAGCAGAGTGTTCTGTCTCTACGTTTAACGCATTCAACTCGGGGACAAAAAGACATACTGCATTCTTGCAGCAAGGCGATGGGGTGGGGTGGGATGGGTGGGGTCGCAAAAGGAAGGGGGCGGGGGTTGGCAGTCAGGACTAAAAGTTAATAAAGTTAAACTTTTTAATGACACTCAGCTTTATATTCTATTTTCTAATATAGAGGGTAGAGACACCAGGCGCTCTCTATTGTATCTCCACCGAAGAAGAGTTACAAGTTGTTCCGATTTTTTTTTTACTTGTGCCGCTTTCGTTTATCGCGAATCTTCGTTTAGGAAATAGGGCCGGACCTAGTAATCTGATGCTGCTTTCAGGCGAGCCTTGACAAAGCCTTGCAAGGCCTGCATACATTTTTGCAGGTCCGCCAGGATTTATACCAAAAAAGTGTTGCATTTATAAACGAACAGACCCCAGTAGTTGCTTGCCCCTCTGCTATAAGCAAAGAGTTAGAGTTCTATATGAAATACACAGTAGTTTTTTGGGCTTCAGGAACCCCCCCCCCCC